CAACATGTAATTCTTCTGGAACAAGGTTCATATTTTCTTGAATCAATCATTACGCATTACTTTATCGATTTACGTGATCGTATACAACTATCTAATATTGTATAGGTATCTTAGAGCGATTTGATAAGTATAATGGTAAACTAAAAGCATTCTATTGAACTGTTATAATGGAAATAATTAATGTTCAATTTTTTTATTATGTAGGCCCTATTCTGAGAATTTATATTTTATCGACTTTTTTTGTTTAAACTAAAATGTTACAAGATCGATAATAAAGTATCACGTTATTAAATAAAATTTTGATCATTTATAATAGGTTTACAAATATTACTTGTGGATTAAGGACAAGTTTAACAGGTTGGTGTGACCTAATACTACAAAAAAAAGTCGTGATAAAATTAGTCGCTATTAGGTGGAAACATAGAATAGTGCTCAGCATTTCTTTTTAAAAATAACATCTTATCTACTAAATGGGGGTCGAGATGAGTTCTTCTAGCTGAGATGTGGGCGTTCACATCAGAAAACAAGCGTTCTGATGGAACTGATGTTGCAGGAATAGATAAGTATTTACGGGCAGTTGACTAAGAAGGGGATAACTTATACGTCTTTTTTCCCACCATATCAAAGGATTTTGATTTTTATGAGCTATTTGCTCTTTCATGTATCGTGTAAATTCATCCTCAGTAAAGACATGATCAGGGATCGAACATGACTCCCATAATTCGGCACTTAAGGAATCCTGAGGATCTTCATTCAAAGTTACTTCATTCAGAATTACAGAACTTTTTTTTATATTTTCATTACTATTTGAATCATCTAATTGAGTTTTAAGTAATAATAATTCTGCACGAATTTGAGCTTCAGTTTGTTCCTGTTCCGGAATTGTAGCAAATGGAAGTAGCTTTATTGCCCGTAGATCTAGAATAGAGGCTTTCAACCCTATTTTATTATATGTATTTCACAATTTATCAATAGACAAAAAAATGGCAGCACATGCTTTTTCTAAAAGCCCAGAACAATCTACAGGTGACAAATATTCTATAGTGTTAGAATCTTCCAATTCTATAAGAATAATTTTTTTTTTTTTTTTTATGACTAACATGACCTTTACGGCGATATGCACTTCGATGTGCATATTGCCACTGCCGTCGATTTCTTGCTAATGGTATATCAACTTCGTTATCACTACTAAAACTTGAATCATTACTAGTATCTGCGTCTTCAGAGCCATAAATTAGATTAACCCAAGCTTCAAATGATTCACTATGATCATTTTTTGGTGCAAACTTGTTTTTTAGAGTTTGAATGTAGGGATATACAAGATTTAATGTTGGATACTTTGATCCACAAAAGTATCTTGTAATTTCTTCAAATGGCTTTAAAAGATAAACCATTTGTTCTGTAAACCTTGATTAAAAAGAAGAAAAATTATTAGTTGCATGTCACTAATTATGTATTCCAGATACTATTTAAATTTATTTAATAAAAATCTTAAATAATACACATATCTAACTAAAATAATACCTGGGTCTTACTGTATTATCTCGAAATAGCATCCCAGGATGTAGTTTTAAAATTTTGCTTAATTTGGATCAAAATTCTAAATGGCAAGATAATATATAATACCCGGGTCTTTTTCATGGAGGTATTATAGTATGGATACTATTCGTAGTGTAACCAAAAAATTTGTTTTTATGTTAACCACTTAAGGGGATCGTCTAAAGCCAG